GAGGAGGAGGAGGAGGAGGAGGAGGAGGAGGAGCAGGAGGAGGAGAAGGAGAAGACGGAGAAGGAGAAGACGGAGAAGGAGAAGGAGAAGACGGAGAAGGAGGAAGAGAGGCATATAGGAATGAGAGGGAAATTAGAGAGACTGGAAAGAGGGAGAATGAGACGGCATAGCAGGGTGGGGTTGACATGGAGAGAGAGGGTATAATTTGAGTAGGGAAAAAGGAGATAGAAAGGTGTAAACACATATAGACACAGACAGGAGACCCAATATAAAGAGAGGGACAGAAATCAGAGACAGGGAGAGGAATTTATCACAGTTCATTGTAGAGTCATAGTCATAAGGAGTCTATAATATTTCAAACGCGATAATCGCAATCTCATTACATCACAGCTCTCTCGCTGGTGTTGTCTGACCACTGGCTAAGGCAGAATGAGATAAACAATAGAATCATATAGGGATCAAGCAACTAAGAACAGTTTGTTTAGATAACTGTGAAATATAGGTCTAGTCTGAATTGTCCAAGACGGCTACCTATTGTCGAGGAGTAAAACGATTGACTTTTTTTTTGGGTAAGTGTTTTACCGCCCTCGCAGCTGCATTAGGTCATATGAGCGAGCGGGATACATTAAACCTTTTCGGTTGGTAGGAAATTTTGAATTTTGCCCGAGTGGCGGCCGAAGCCTACTCTTATTATTGATTTTGGACCACTAAGGGATCTATAATGTGCACATCTTACACACGGGACCTCCGAGAATTTTCACCCTTGTCCGAAAAGGCACTGTGTAGGTCTTTTCTATCAGAAGCTCAGGGGTGTGGCTGAAAGACAGCAGTAAGATGGAGTAGCAATAGAAAGGCTGCAGAAAGAGTCAGGAGCCCGGAGGAGGGGGCAAAGGAAAATATGAGGGGTGAGGACAGAAAGAGGAAACGAAAGCACACGAGAAAATATTGTTAGAGAGCAGGAAAGGATGTGAAAGGAGAACATTTGTAGAGAAGAAAATTTTCCGTCGTTATCCAGATTCGAACACGGGACCTATTGATCAAGATGCGAACACCTTAACCTATAGACCACGACAACCCCCAACGATAGTCATGAACAGTGGTATGGTATTTTTAAAGATAAAGAAAAAACCCGCAAGGGAGAAAGCTGGAAGTTGTCGTTTGGACAGGTGATTGTCTTGGACATGTGATTGTCTTGGACAGGTGATTGTCTTGGACAGGTGATTGTCTTGGATAGGTGACAATTAGAGCAGGTTCGACTGTACAAGTACAAGCGAACGTACATACTCCAAATTTGGATGATTCAGAGACATTATTAAATTAATTACAGACTAATCTGTTGGAAACTTTGCCGTTGACTGCGTCCAGTACGTAATTGTGTTAATGAAATGTGCACCATGCTTAACTCTTATTGCAGAAACTGAACATCTGTTGGCTAGATGCTTCATTGTTGTTTTTTTTTTCTTGTTTTCCTTTTTAAATTGTCATATATTTTTGTTTCCCTGTACTGCAACAGTATCTTCATATCGTATTACATTTTAAATTAATTTCTTAAAACATTTAACTTGTTTGTAGGTTGAAAGCTGTCTTTTTACACTGAAAATGCTTATACGTAGTTATATATTATGTATTTCAAACTAAACTTGCTGTGACAAAGCTGGGAAGGAATTTGCTGTAAGAGTTAAGTCACTGTTTCGTGTTATGCTCTGTCTTGGCTCAATTTCTCTACTTATTTTGAAGACTCTAGTATTCATATTTTGGGTGACGTTTTACCTAGTAACTCCGTCAAGGTGCCCGAACCAACCCCCCCCCCCCCCATAAAACAACAACAAAACAACAACAACACACACAAACACACACGCACAAAACGACAAAGACAAACCATAAACCAACCAACCAAGAACTAACCAACCAACCAAGAACTAACCAACCAACCAACCAACCAAATAAAGAAACAAGCAAATGAACAAACAAACTCAAAACCAAAAAAAACCCCCCAAAACAAACAAACAAATAAAACAAAACAAAATACTCTCCCCCCCAAAAAAAAAATTGAACCCCCCCCAACAAAACAACCCCAGTGGTTATAATCTTAACATAATGAATCACGGTCGAAACTGACCCCGACGGTCACCCCCTGTAGAGGAGAACAGTGGTTGTCTTAGACAGGTGGATGGCTTGGGTAGTGTTATTACAACTTATTTTTTTTTAATAACGTAAAACGGGGGTGGGGTGGGGGGTGGGGGGGTCAGTGTATGGAGTGACCATATGTACGGGTGATTGTCTTGGATGTCGACCGTTAGAGCAGGTTTGACTGTATGTTGGGTTTATGAGACACCAAAGACGGCGGTATGTTTTGGTTTGCACAACGGTTCATCACAATAAGAAGTAAGCACAGTATGATAATACATGTATTAGTAGCATGAAGCCTGTGGGCTTCTGGAAAACAGGCTAAAGCTTCTGCTTACAATAAAATTGTTTAACACATAGAACTTTTTGGCTCTTAACCTGTAATGCCCCAAATTTAGGATATAACTTATTAAGTCAGTTGTCAACTTAGTCCAGCTTGCCGCTGTAGCGGATACTTTCATCCACCGTGGAAAAGCGTGGAGCAAACGGATGGGAGTTGTGTTACTGATGGGAAGGAAAACATGAATACCAATTTGTTCTTCCTGCTTTGTGTCTGTGTTGTGCCACAAGTGTTGGGCCAGCAGCCAGAGCCATGTGAACCCCCACCACAGATATCCGTGAGTACTGTGGACTGATCGCTACCTTAGAATTACAAAGTTCTTCCAGCTCAATACCTCGTTTTGAGGATTTGATGTCAAAATTGTTGTTTCACAATACACTGTATTATGTCAAGCTTTTTCGAATGTAATTCTTTGAATATCTCTGAATAATCCTACGATTTTGATAGAGCCCATAGAACATTTTGGTTTCTGACCTCATGGTTTTAGTAACTCGAAACGGCCAAAAATGTCAGATAGAATTATGAAATTCTAAGGCAACAAGTTGCAGCCCACATTGTACTGGTAGGTAGAGGTTTTGCTGTTATTGCCGCTCCCACTTGCTACAATGATCTTACAGAACATTGATTGTTCATAGAGACACAATATTGTGTACTGTGTTGACTCTGATTCAAAAGTCGTGTAATTCGACAGACTCTGTTCTAGGACAAGCACAAAGCCCCAGTTTTATTTTTTCCACGCTTAGCATGCACTGGAAAAAAATCATTATACTGGAAAGACAGTATTACTCTCTCTCTCTCTCTCTCTCTCTCTCTCTCTC